ATGAAATGATAGAGAATCTTTTCCCGATTGTAATGACACCAAAAGAACGAAATTTGACGGAAAACTGACGGAATTATGCTCTCGCGAAGTTAGTGTCCTCGGCGATATTTACGAATCGGTGATTTCACCCACTTTGAGCCCAATTTTCGGCTAATTTCATTGTTCCAGATGACCAAACTCATAGCTATTAATATAGAACTTCACTTTTTCTATCGATTGAGTACAAGAAACTGCCCATTTACCGATTTCAACTACCCAATAACGTGGTCAGAAATTTGCAATTTGGCCAATTTCACAAAAATTAAAAAATATGACAATTTCATATACGATACGATGTAGGGCGAAATGACAGTAGTTTGTTGGATTATGTATTGGTAGATAAAAGACTGTTGAGTAGATTTCAGGATGTACATGTTTATAGAGGGGCCACAGATATATCAGATCACTTTCTAGTTGTAGCTACACTGAGAGTAAAAGGTAGATGGGATACAAGGAGAATAGAAGCATCAGGGAAGAGAGAGGTGAAGGTTTATAAACTAAAAGAGGAGGCAGTTAGGGCAAGATATAAACAGCTATTGGAGGATAGATGGGCTAATGAGAGCATAGGCAATGGGGTCGAAGAGGTATGGGGTAGGTTTAAAAATGTAGTGTTAGAGTGTTCAGCAGAAGTTTGTGGTTACAGGAAAGTGGGTGCGGGAGGGAAGAGGAGCGATTGGTGGAATGATGATGTGAAGAGAGTAGTAAGGGAGAAAAAGTTAGCATATGAGAAGTTTTTACAAAGTAGAAGTGATGAAAGGAGGGAAGAGTATATGAAGAAAAAGAGAGAGGTTAAGAGAGTGGTGAAACAATGTAAAAAGAGAGCAAATGAGTGAGTGGGTGAGATGTTATCAACAAATTTTGTTGAAAATAAGAAAAAGTTTTGGAGTGAAATTAACAAGTTAAGAAAGTCTAGAGAACAAATGGATTTGTTAGTTAAAAATAGGAGAGGAGAGTTATTAAATGGAGAGTTAGAGGTATTTCGGAAGATGGAGGGAATATTTTGAGGAATTGTTAAATGTTGATGAAGATAGGGAAGCTGTGATTTCGTGTATAGGGCAAGGAGGAATAACATCTTGCAGGAGTGAGGAAGAGCCAGTTGTGAGTGTGGGGGAAGTTCCTGAGGCAGTAGGTAAAATGAAAGGGTGTAAGGCAGCCGGGATTGATGGGATAAAGATAGAAATGTTAACCCTTTGAGGGTTTTCGTCGTACTAGTACGTCTTACGCTTAGGGGTTTTTGACGTACTAGTACTCATAAATTCAAGCGGCCTCAAATCTAGTGGGAGAAAGCTGGTAGGCCTTCATATGAAAGAATGGGTCTATGTGGTCAGTGTGCACAGTCTAAAAAAAATCCTGCAGCACACAGTGCATAATGAGAAAAAAAAAACTTTGACCATTTTTTTTTAATAAATCAGCGACTTTGCAGTGTATTTTCGTATGGTATTTATTGTTGTATTCTAGTTTTCTTGGTCTCATTTTATAGAATGGAAGACATATTACAGAAATTGAGATGATTTTGACTGGTTTTACAAAGAAAGGTGCCTTGAAATTGAGCTCAAAGTAGCAGAAATGTTCGATTTTTACCAAACTTCATAAGTAAACAAATCGTGCCAAGCGTGCAATACACGTCAACTGGTGAGTCTAATATTCTTTCACAAGTGCACCAATAATATTTTATACCATTTTTTACACTAATGCAGTAGTCTGCATAACAGTAAATCTTATATTTTTTGTGAAAATAAAAATTCAAAGTGGAAAGCAAAAGAATAAGAGGGGCCTTGAGACGTGACTAATGACTAGAGGAAATGTCATTTTAGTGCCAGGAATGTCTTTCTTGTTTATTCTGGACCCTATTCAGAAATTGGCATCTTTTGAAATTTGTGTGAAATTGGCAAAATTGCTAACTTCTGACCACTGTACTGGATAGTTGAATTTCATAAATGAGTGGTTTCTTGCACCCATTTTGATAGAAAAAATGAGTTCTAGCGAAATATTCATGTTTTTTGTCGACTAGTACAGTGAAATTGGCCGAAAATGGGGCTCAAAGTGGGCAAAATCGCCGATGCGTAAACATCGCAGAGACCGCTAACTTTGCGAGAGCATAATTCCGTAAGTTTTCTATCAAATTTCAAACTTTTGGTGTCTTTATGATCGGGAAAAGATTCTCTATCTTTTCATAAGAGAAAATAATTTTTTTTTTTTTTTTAAATTTGGCCGACCGTGAGAACGAGTTTCGGAGAGGGCCTGTTGACCCTCAAAGGGTTAAAAGCAGGTGGGGATATAGTTTTGGAGTGGTTGGTGCAATTATTTAATAAATGTATGGAAGAGGGTAAGGTACCTAGGGATTGGCAGAGAGCATGCATAGTTCCTTTGTATAAAGGCAAAGGGGATAAAAGAGAGTGCAAGAATTATAGGGGGATAAGTCTGTTGAGTATACCTGGCAAAGTGTATGGTAGAGTTATTATTGAAAGAATTAAGAGTAAGACGGAAAATAGGATAGCAGATGAACAAGGAGGCTTTAGGAAAGGTAGGGGGTGTGTGGACCAGGTGTTTACAGTGAAACATATAAGTGAACAGTATTTAGATAAGGCTAAAGAGGTCTTTGTGGCATTTATGGATTTGGAAAAGGCGTATGACAGGGTGGATAGGGGGGCAATGTGGCAGATGTTGCAGGTGTATGGTGTAGGAGGTAGGTTACTGAAAGCAGTGAAGAGCTTTTAACGAGGATAGTGAGGCTCAAGTTAGAGTATGTAGGAAAGAGGGAAATTATTTCCCAGTAAAAGTAGGCCTTAGACAAGGATGTGTGATGTCACCGTGGTTGTTTAATATATTTATAGATGGGTTGTAAGAGAAGTAAATGCGAGGGTCTTGGCAAGAGGCGTGGAGTTAAAAGATAAAGAATCACACATAAAGTGGGAGTTGTCACAGTTGCTCTTTGCTGATGACACTGTGCTCTTGGGAGATTCTGAAGAGAAGTTGCAGAGATTGGTGGATGAATTTGGTAGGGTGTGCAAAAGAAGAAAATTGAAAGTGAATACAGGAAAGAGTAAGGTTATGAGGATAACAAAAAGATTAGGTGATGAAAGATTGGATATCAGATTGGAGGGAGAGAGTATGGAGGAGGTGAATGTATTCAGATATTTGGGAGTGGACGTGTCAGCGGATGGTCTATGAAAGATGAGGTGAATCATAGAATTGATGAGGGGAAAAGGGTGAGTGGTGCACTTAGGAGTCTGTGGAGACAAAGAACTTTGTCCTTGGAGGCAAAGAGGGGAATGTATGAGAGTATAGTTTTACCAACGCTCTTATATGGGTGTGAAGCATGGGTGATGAATGTTGCAGCGAGGAGAAGGCTGGAGGCAGTGGAGATGTCATGTCTGAGAGCAATGTGTGGTGTGAATATGATGCAGAGAATTCGTAGTTTGGAAGTTAGGAGGAGGTGCGGGATTACCAAAACTGTTGTCCAGAGGGCTGAGGAAGGTTGTTGAGGTGGTTCGGACATGTGGAGAGAATGGAGCGAAACAGAATAACTTCAAGAGTGTATCAGTCTGTAGTGGAAGGAAGGCGGGGTAGGGGTCGGCCAAGGAAAGGTTGGAGGGAGGGGGTAAAGGAGGTTTTGTGTGCGAGGGGTTTGGACTTCCAGCAGGCATGTGTGAGCGTGTTTGATAGGAGTGAATGGAGACAAATGGTTTTTAATACTTGACGTGCTGTTGGAGTGTGAGCAAAGTAACATTTATGAAGGGGTTCAGGGAAACCGGCAGGCCGGACTTGAGTCCTGGAGATGGGAAGTACAGTGCCTGCACTCTGAAGGAGGGGTGTTAATGTTGCAGTTTAAAAACTGTAGTGTAAAGCACCCTTCTGGCAAGACAGTGATGGAGTGAATGATGGTGAAAGTTTTTCTTTTTCGGGCCACCCTGCCTTGGTGGGAATCGGCCAGTGTGATGATAAAAAAAAAAAAAAAAAAAAAAAGACAATTTCAAAATAGGGTCCAGAATGAACAATGTAGACATTCCTGGCTCTAAAATAACATTTTCTTTGTTCATCAGTCATGTCTCCAGGCCCCTCTGATATTACTCTTGCTTTCTATTTTGAATTTTTATTCAAGCAAAAAATAGAAGATTTACTGTTATGCAGACTCCTGCAATATTGTAATAATTGTATAAATAATGTCAACCCATTCATGACTGCATATTAGAATGGCTGCTTAGACATTTATTGGAAAATGACTATCATTTGTTTACCTTTGAACATCGGCAAAAATCAAACATTTCCCTTACTTTGAGCTCCATTTCAAGGTTCTTTTCATTGTAATACCAATAAAAATCAGCTCTATTTCTATAATATGTTTTCCATTCTATCAAATGAGACCAAGAAAATGAGAATACAACAATAAATACCACACGAAAATAGACCACAAAGTTGGCATTTTAATTAAAAAAAAAACGGTCGGAGTTTTTTTTTTCTCATGCACTGCGTGCTGCAGGATTTTTTTTATATGGTGCACACTGACCACACAGACCCATTCTCTCACATGTGGGCCTACCAGCTTTCTCCTGCTTGATTTGAAGCCGCTAGAATTTATGAGTATATACGTCAAAAACGGTGGCTCGTAAGACGTATATATATGACCAAAACAGTCAAAGGGTTAATAACTCCTCTTGAATTGGGTGGCATGTAAGTTAATGTTATAATATGTGCAGAATTAAGTTTGGGCCTTTGATATGGTGTGACTTTTCTTCATTTGATCTATAAACACCATAATCATTGGGTTATTGCTATATAATTATAGTACATATGTTGAATGTATGTTATTCATGAATGTCAGTGTTTGGAAAAAGTATTTACAGTAGTTTCAACTTTTTTAATTGATTGTTTCGTGATGTGTTAATGTGCTTTTAAATTTTTAAAATGTGTTAATGGATGTTAGATTTCATTTGAATGTGTTTAATTTTTTTTCTTTTAAGGTAAAGTCAGTGCAAACCATGCCAGCAGTACCAGCAGGTAACTACTACCAACAGGGCCAAGGTCCCAGTTGTTGGGACCGGGTTAAGCTAGGCTTCATGATGGGATTCTCTGTTGGCATGGCGACTGGGGCACTCTTTGGAGGCTTCACAGCCCTTAGGTATGTGAAATTTTGAGCATACTTTGGGTGTAGATTCTGAAAACTTATTTTTTGTTTACTGTATAGAATTATTATTATTTTCATGTCAAACATCAGTGCTTCTTACCCCAAAACCAATGCGAGTACATAAATTCTACATTCCCATTTAGAAAACCAGAAAAAAAAAATTACATGCCTCTTGACTGATTTTTTACTTAACTGTCTGCTTTGTAGATCAGAGGCTTCCATGAATTTTAAGTCTGGATTATTTCAAGTGAGTAATGTATGGTGGGATCAGGCAGATACTGGAGTGTTTGTACCCTTTACCTGTTCTTTGGCTACTCTCAGGCCCTCTGTTGGTTACATATAATACTACTATATTTTGTGGCTTATTAGACTTTTTTTTTTTTTTTTTTTTTTCCATAAAATGTCTCCCAGAAACCACCGTCTGTCCTATAAACTGAAGGTCAGTGATGGGAGCTATATGTTAGGGGTGTGGGGTGGGCTGTAGCTCTCCCAGTTACGTCTGATGCTGAGCCATTGAAACTAAAGTCTTATAAGCCGCAAAATACGGTTATTTGGGATTTTATTCTCTATCCCCAGGTCTTTCTAGAAATCCCCACGTACTCACACACCAACATTATCATACACTTTTTTTTTTTTTTTCTCTCTGTACCCATCATGGCATGAGCAGCTGGTGATCTGACCATTGAGTTTCTTCATTCTGGATACTTCCCTATAACTGTTCCTCAGGATCCTACTGCCCCTTATTGATCTAGGCTGTATACCACCTGTCCCTCCATTTGTGCACTTCCTTACATTTGCCTTTTAATGTCTTCTGCGTTACAATTCCATTAAATCCTGTCTTCCACCGAGACGTGGGTGTAAGTTTTTGCCCTCCAGCTGAAAGCTGGCGAAGTCTTTGATCATAAGATCAACTCTAGTCACTGGTTGATCAAAGTATCACTTTTCAGCAGTTGTGACACCAAGTTTCCTTTGTATGCATACACGATGACACTGGAGCTGGTACCAAACTCCAGGCAAATGCTGATTCGTAGTGCCACTATTCATACCTAACTGAATTTACAATGTGAGATGGTGACCCTTGGATGGTCTGCTTCACAGTCCTTCAAGGGGTATGCTGGAGATATCCTTAACCAACTCTCGAGTGTCAGTGTTTGTGTCTTCCCTCGTTGGAGGCAAAACATTTGAAAAATGGCTACAGGCCTGTATTGCTTGCAAGGTTTTGTTGTCAAGTTGCTGGAAAAAATAGGGAAGTGAATAAAACGGTGGGTTTATCATGTTTGTTGGAAATATTGTTACCAGTTTTGTTGGGATATTATGAAACTAGTGATGTTTCTAGGGATGTTTGTAAGAAAATCCTGGACAACAGGACTTCAAGAACATCCTTAAGAACATCACTAATCTAGTTCATATTTCTTCAAGCAAACAAGAAACCAATCCCTAATCACACACACCAGGAGTTCATAAAATTTCTTGTAAGGCTTGCATCCTCTCTTACATACAACACTGAAAGGATCACAAACAAAATGATCACCAAACAAGAGAGCTATCAGATACAGCCACAACAGTATCTTTTTACATGGCCTACAAGTCAACCACAACATACACTGAAAAATAATCTTTTAGATAAAATATCCTGTCCTTTCAAAAGGGAAATCATTGAAGCTACCCTTATGTTAAAACCTACTCTCATCCTCTAACTAGGTTAATGGAAGCCACCTACTATTAACTCACAAAATCTTGCAACCCAGCACCAATTGTACTTGCACAGGAATTGAGATCTTACCAAATCACTTTTGTATATTCCTATTTTTTTTTTTTTTTTTTTTTTTTTTTTTTTTTTATTATCACACTGGCCGATTCCCACCAAGGCAGGGTGGCCCGAAAAAGAAAAACTTTCACCATCATTCACTCCATCACTGTCTTGCCAGAAGGGTGCTTTACACTACAGTTTTTAAACTGCAACATTAACACACCTCCTTCAGAGTGCAGGCACTGTACTTCCCATCTCCAGGACTCAAGTCCGGCCTGCCGGTTTCCCTGAACCCCTTCATAAATGTTACTTTGCTCACACTCCAACAGCACGTCAAGTATTAAAAACCATTCGTCTCCATTCACTCCTATCAAACACGCTCACGCACGCCTGCTGGAAGTTTTTTATATGCTGAAAAAAAGGGTCCGAGGCCAAAATATAAAGATCCTCTTACTTTGTTTTATTTTCTGTCCATGTAGGATTAACCTGCTTATTAATCAGTGTATATAATACTTACACAATGAGTTGATTACATATAGTGTGCAATTGTATTCATACACTTCTCATACATTATGGTGCACATAGGATGTATTTCTACTAGCAGTTTATCCCATGCATGACAAGTATACACAGCAAGAATGTAGCTTCTAGTTTGCACTTCAGTTTGACAATTATCATAGCCATTATTATTACATTGATGAGGAAGCAGTGAACTTGAAGGGGCCATACACTGTCTACAGAATGAGAGGTAATCCAGTTTGCTCGTGCAGTGCTGTATGACACTTGTGGGTTTAGTGCTTAGTTATGATAATTCAGTTTGATCCAAGGAAAGGAGGTAGTGCCAGTTTCTATGATCAAGAATTCTTCACAGGTATCAAGGCACCTTGCTAGAAGAGAGAAAGATGGCAAGAGGTTGAGAGTTAGCTATAGGAAATAATTTCATGTTAAGCATGCAACTTTAAAAGGTTACAGAAATTTTAAGCCATATGTTTTAGCATACAATAATGTGTTCATAATTTTTATTTTTCAGATATGGACTAAGAGGCAGAGAGCTAATGAATAATGTTGGAAAAGTAATGTTACAATCAGGAGGCACTTTTGGAACCTTTATGTCAATTGGTGCGGGTATTCGATGTTGATTGTAGTCACAGAAAGCCCTCAACATCCGTGGTTCAATCAGCATTTAAGTGTGCAGATAGTAGACTAATTTCTCTGAACTTATATTTAATTACAACTGTATAAATGTTTAATACCATAGTATATAAAAAAATGTGGCTTTCCAAGGAAAAATGCTAATTATACACATTTATCTAGATGGAGTATAGTAATTTTATATTTTTTGGCTTTAGCTGAAAAAATTAAACAGTTAATTTCAACAGGAGGATGATATCGACACCATATAATCATATCTAAGCAGTAAACCCATAAGGGTCATGTGCTGATTAACACCATAATGGCAACAAATTTTACTTCTGAATTTAGCTTCCTCTGGGAGTTTTAAGGCAAAATGTAAATATTTGTTACTACTGAATTAAGTAGCTAGGCATATCTAATGTATAAAGGAACAATTGTCAATTATTATAGTCCCAAGGAAACCCTAAACCCATAAGGATTATATGCTGTATTTGACAAATGTAGCAAGTTGTAGCAGAAACGTAAAATGAAATTTGAGGTTAGATACAGTTTGGAATTTAGGCTTTGAGGTTTATCCAACAAGTCTGTGCTGTATGACCCTTATTGGTTTAGTGTTTAAATTGATATTATCCATCAAGTTCCTTAATTTACAAATTACAGTACAATAATTATAGCTTAGTAGTCCCTCTTAATTATTTAGATGTTCATAACCTGAGGAAATTTATGAGAATTACAGCACAGAACTGTAAATACTGTAGTTATAATGCTGTACTGTGCATTTTATGCACTGGGATGTCATGTATTTTTATTACCAACATATATATTGGAATAAAGGAGGGAGGGGGATAAAGGGTTAAGATCTCAATTCTAAGAGAACAAAGATCATTAAGGGGGGGAGGGGGAAAGCATTAAACCTGAATAGATTATACAGACAGTTTGAAAAAAAAAAATTTACATTTGCAGTATGGTAATGGGTAAATAGAGGGTGCCTTTTTTCATCTCCCTAGTTATTAGTTACTGATTGTTAAGATAATTTTTTTTGAAGCCTACCAGTAGTTTGAGTTAAATAAATTTGTTTTATTCATATCTTTCAAAGGGCTTTTCCATAAACCTTGCACATATTGGTATGAAAAACTTCAAGAGCCAAAATTCCATTACAATTTTTTTTTTTTTTTTTTTTTTTTTTTTATACACCAGATATGGTGTTGCACTTAATACAAGTTTGTCAGAATTGGAGATTATTAAAAAGGAAACTGGTTATCAAATTACAGTACAGGCATATACATAGACAAGTTGTAATACGAATGTATTAGTCCGAAATCCTCAAGATGTCAGTAGCCAGCCTCAAAGTTTTAACATTGACAATAACCTTATATCAGAAGCAGTGGGCTGTAGGATCTGAGCTGGCAAATGACTACTTGGGCTGCAAAATTCAATTTTCAATATTTTAAACACAACTAGATGCATTTTGTCAATGTATTTTCATATTTTATTTCCCATTCCCATCAAGGAAGATTCTTTGATGCCAGTGTCATTGTATGACCCTTGTGGATTTAGTGCTTAGTTGTAATTGATGCCAGTGAGGCATTCTTATAACTAAAACCAAGCACTAAACCTGTTAAGGGTTGAGGGGCTCTTTATACTAAGAACTGGACCATTCCTTACCTTCCATAGTATCAAACCTGAGTGTTTCCCATTTCTTCAGGCATTGTATGAACCTAACAGGTTAAACCCTTAAACTGTCCAAACGTAGATCTACGTTTGCGCGCGTAGTGCTCCGACCTTAATTTTCTCCATAAGAGAGCACGTGAAAAAAATATAGATCTACGTTTGGAGCGCTACGCAAGCGAACGTAGATCTACGTTTGGACAGTTTAAGGGTTAATGCTTTCACCATCAAGATAGTTTCCCATCTGTTACTGGTATGTGGATGCCCTCACTTTACAGAAAAATTGGATTTAAGTTTTTGTTTATCTATTGGTGACCAAAATACAATTTTTTTTTTTTTGCACTATTATTCTGTTGCACATAATACTGCTATAATGAGAACCTTTAAAACAGGAGATGCCAAAGTCAAATGATTAACCTGAAGAGTATCATTGGCTTGGCATGTTTTCACGGTTCTAGTTATCCAACCGATCATTTTTCTTGCAGTTGTGATAACATTGTTGTGCTGCTTGAACAAGAGATAATCTATAATGTCAGGGTCTTGCATTCATGGAGTACAACAGTTATTGTAATGGGGGGGATGGGAGGGAATATGGTTGGATAACTAGAACTTTCAAAACAAAAGATGCTCAGCCAATGATTAAGTCATTTGTTCTCTCTAGGCTGGAATATTGCTATATACTAACAATCCCTGTTAAAGCAGGCAAAAATATGGCTGAGATGGAAAATATACAGTGGACCTTCACAGCTCAAAATCAGTCAAGCACTTCAATTACTGGGAGTGCTTTAAGTCCATAGAACTGTACTCCTTAGAATATAGACAAGAAAGATACATCATACCCTACACCTGGAAGATACTAGAGGAATTATTCCCAAACCCGAACTCCAAAATTACAACTCGTGAATACAAGAAGCTTGGCAGATGGTGCAGGATACCTCCAATTAAAAGCAGGGGAGCAATGAGTACAGAGAACTAAGCAAGTGTTATGGGACCACAACCTTTCAATGCCCTCCCTCCATGCATAATGGGTATTACCAACAACCCCTTAGCTGTTTTCAAGAGAATTTGGCCCATTCCTTAAAACTGTTACTAATTAGCTGGGCTTTGGCACACATGCAGGCACTAAAAGCTTGATTGATCAGGCCAGCAAACAGAAGGCCTGGTCTGGAACAAGGCTACAGGGGCAGTAACCTCTGGAAGTGACTCCAGGTTAATAACTGCTTAGGTTTGATATCTAAACTTGTTTGGACCTCTCAAAGAATGTGCTTTGATGCCAGTGAGGATCTCTCGATTCAAAGAACTAGGCTTATGATTCCCTTTGACAATTCTGACTGCCTTCCATTTCCCAGGCGCTACATGACGTCTGTGGATTTAGCACTTAAAAGATTTATAAATATTCATATTACATTATTCACTTTTAATCGTAATTTAGCTGTTATCAGCAGCAGTTGAATGTAATATTAGTTTAGTCCATGCCATCCAAGTTTTACAATCTTTTATTTGTATCATCTCAGGGATATTCATTGCTTTAAGCAACATGTTAGGTATAATGTTACCCATCATGTCTGCTAGACAACAGAATATTGTACTTAAACATTCCACTACAGCCATCAACTACAGACAACTCTGCATCCATATCAACACAAACACAGCCAGCCACTTTAATTTTTGTAATTTATATCTTTTTAGTATTTAAAACACCTTAAATTTTGAAATTTTGGATAACTATGAACATTTGTTGCTGTACATATAAAAAGTATATATACAAGTAGAACAGGAATATGATAATTTTTCAGAATGAGGCATGTCTGAATTGGTAGAGTGACTAAGAAAGCAAATGTATTCTGACAACATTTTGCTCATTGTTGAACCCCTCAAGGTAGGTAGGTAGGTGGCTTGATACTTGCATTTTTGATCCAAGGAATTAGGTCCATTCTACCTTTCCTTAATGAGGACCAATTGCCTCCCATTCCCCAAGTGATGTATGACCCCTACAAATTTTGTATTTTCCCCTAGATTAATAATTTGCTCAGTGTTGAGCTTTATGAAGTCATAATGACTGGTCAACACATACTGTCTTTGCCATACATATTGGCACCATTTGCCAACCAGGGGCAGAACCCCCCAACCCCGTGCTTCCAAAAAAAGAATTACATCAGCCCTCAAAAGTCCCTAACTACTCTTCCACTCCTCAGCACCTCCTATAATTAATTTCTGGAGCTGCCTGTTGCCAACAACCATGTCTAAATTACTGATAATGCATTATTATATGACTCAGGCATTCTGAGTCAGCATTTTTGCTCTTATTTGGAAATATCTAGCTTTAAGATTTACAATTCAGAAAGATGTCCGAGTGTGTATGAGAGATTACAGTCCTGTACATATATTTCAAACATTTACTCCATATATTTCACACATTTACTGCAATTCAGTAATGTCTAATGTACCCTTCTCAATTTGAAAGATGTAATAAATGGTATCTAATAGTACAGTACCACAAAAATATCTTGTGACTGCATTTATTACTGTTTATTCTCCAAAGGTCATGACTCCTCTTCCAGTAATCTAGTCGTTTGTCTTCGGCCTCGGCTTCCTCCTCCTCCTCTCTGTGCCTGAAATTCATGACATTAATAAAAACTTTTCTCTACTAGCTTATCAATGTGGTCTTAACATTTACAGTCTCTTCTAATAGGTTAGACTAATGAAAAAATAAATCCTTCACTAAATACTGTATTTTTATTAGTGACTTACAAACCTCTCAATTTGTTTACTTACATTTTCAATCTTTAACTGATAAACTTTTTTTGTTGTACTAAAAAAGGTGCTAAACCATACAAGTCATTTAAAAATGAGTACTGTTAAGTAACAAGTAAAATATAAGAGCAACCACCCAAATGACAAAAAAAGCACTTCATGCACTAACCTGCCGATAGTAGGCTTGGAAAACAATTAGGAAGCAAGTTTCAAGGAATACTACCAAACCAGTGATGCCTGCTACTTCAAGAGCAACTCTTCCTGTGCCAACTGCAGCAATCAGAACAACTATCACAACACCTGCCAGCAGCGAGAGAAGCAGTTCACCGAAGATCATAACAATTAGTCGTAGCATCAGTTTTGCCCTGTTCTGAAGGGAGGAAAAAATATTAACTGAAGTGTTAAAAAACACTTAAATTTGACACTAACAATCAGGGCTGGTGCAAACCATTAGACGAACTTGGCAGCAACATTGAAGAGCAAGTAAATTATTGTTTTTTATTATCACACTGGCCGATTCTCACCAAGGCAGGGTGGCCCGAAAAAGAAAAACTTTCACCATCATTCACTCCATCACTGTCTTGCCAGAAGGGTGCTTTACACTACAGTTTTTAAACTGCAACATTAACACCCCTCCTTCAGAGTGCAGGCACTGTACTTCCCATCTCCAGGACTCAAGTCCGGCCTGCCGGTTTCCCTGAACCCCGTTACTTTGCTCACACTCCAACAGCACATCAAGTATTAAAAACCATTCGTCTCCATTCACTCCTATCAAACACGCTCACGTACGCCTGCTGGAAGTCCAAGCCCCTCGCACACAAAACCTCCTTTACCCCCTCCCTCCAACCTTTCCTAGGCCGACCCCTACCCCGCCTTCCTTCCACTACAGACTGATACACTCTTGAAGTCATTCTGTTTCGCTCCATTCTCTCTACATGTCCGAACCACCTCAACAACCCTTCCTCAGCCCTCTGGACAACAGTTTTGGTAATCCCGCACCTCCTCTTAACTTCCAAACTACGAATTCTCTGCATTATATTCACACCACACATTGCCCTCAGACACGACATCTCCACTGCCTCCAGCCTTCTCCTCACTGCAACATTCATCACCCATGCTTCATATCCATATAAGAGCGTTGGTAAAACTATACTCTCATACATTCCCCTCTTGCCTCCAAGGACAAAGTTTCTTTGTCCTCCACAGACTCCTAAGTGCACCACTCACCCTTTTCCCCTCATCAATTCTATGATTCACCTCATCCTTCATAGACCCATCCGCTGACACGTCCACTCCCAAATATCTGAATACATTCACCTCCTCCATACTCGCTCCCTCCAGTCTGATATCCAATCTTTCATCACCTAATCTTTTTGTTATCCTCATAACCTTACTCTTTCCTGTATTCACTTTAATTTTCTTCTTTTGCACACCCTACCAAATTCATCCACCAATCTCTGCAACTTCTCTTCAGAATCTCCCAAGAACACAGTGTCATCAGCGAAGAGCAACTGTGACAACTCCCACTTTATGTGCGATTCCTAAAGGATTCTTTTAGCTTAAGTTCGATGCTTGCTATTTCTCTGACCAGTGTCTCCCTACGCCTTTCAGATATATTTCCTCTTTTAGCCGCTCTGTTATTCTTTTCCGTCGCCTGTAAAGGGAGCGCCTGT